AAATTTTAGGAAATTTTGAAAATCTTGTAAAGCCGTCCAATTTTGTCTTCAAACTAGAAATAAACATTATTAATCGTCCCACCTTGGTGAATCGTTCCAGTTTGGGTCTCTTACCATGCCTTCCAAAGTCAATTTGCTAAAATCTGATGTTTCAATAAGTTTTTCGCAACTCTTGACACGAACATATTACAAAGTTATAAAGTTAATTCGTGTGTAAATCGAAACAAGAGTTTTTCCTATTGACTGATTGCATTCCGACGCAAAATTCAATGAAAAATATGTTCAGAATATTATTATCAAAACCTGCGCTAAGAATTCTTTTAATTGGTCAATTTTTTTGATGAGCCAAATTTTGATATCAATATATGGTAACAAATAGTTTCTCTTCAATAGGGAAACCTACAAGTGTCCATGTTGTTCATATTAACAGTTATTGAAAAAAATAGTAGAATTCATTCTATTTTGGAATGGACTAGTGAATATTTTGAATAAGCACATTGAAAATAAAGGAACAGAAGCTAATAATCATATTCTGTATCGAGATTCAAGTACAAGAAAAATTTCATATTTATATTTGTTTACTCAGTATTATCTAAAACTAAAAGCCTTATCATTATACTGTAATAAAAAAGATGCATTATTTTATTTTAACAGCGTATCAATCACTCTGTGTCGTTTGATATTGCTTGTTTATATCTTCGTTTTGAAGCTATTTTGCACAAGTTTCTGTTACCTGATGAAATGTGGGTTCAACTTTGATATATTGACCATATGTCGATGCGATTGATGAGCAAAAACATTTAAGTGTGTTGCCATGAGTATTCATCAGATACTTGTAAGTACTGAGAGATGGTTTATCAATAGTTCTCGTTAGGATTTGAGGTCGAGCAATGGTATAGCAGGCGACAATGGCACAGCCGACGATCATCAAAGCAAAATAAAGCCGAGTGGCCCATCGACCGAACTGCTGTGCTGTCCTTTGACTAATAGAATTTCCGAAAACATGCCGACGAAATATGTTCAGATTGATCAATGTGGTATATAAAAGTATAGTCATATTGAAGAGTACCGTTTTTATGCGGTCAGACAGCTTTCGATCAGCTATATGTAGAAAGATTTATTTAGTATTTCCTTCTTTGCTTTTAAATAAGTAAAATGTCTCTATTAAGCACACTAACCCATTCTCAGCAGTTCCTGAAATTCATCTAACCGTACGCATACAACTAGCTGCGCAAATAAAACAAAGATTTCGGTACACTATCGACGATCGAAATGCATGTACATGTATTTTACTGAAGAATTTGATCTTAAAATATCTTGTCAATCAACATTCATTGATGATCTATCAAGTACTTATGTTTATCATGATACCAAAAATGAGAAGATCTCAAATGAAAAAGACATCTAAAGGAATAGGGCATATCCATGCTATGATATCATGGAAATATCATCTGTTAAGTGGAGCCTTTATGAGATCATAGTAGTTTTCGAGGAGAATTTGAATGCAGTGTCGAAACGAAAGAAGATACGTCAGCTAGATCCAAGCGATGAATGAGGGTAAATGCATAAAAGAGCCATATAGTGGTGAACAATAGATCCTCACTATGATCAATCCTATTGTGACCCTGAAATCGTGCACACGATGTCTATCAAGTTTTGATATTGATGGCTGATAGGAATGAATCAATGCCTTGAATACTCTAACTACTGATGTGAATTACAGAGAATAGCAAAACAGTTTTTGACTTTTTAATACAACTACAAAGTCCTTTTTTATATTTTCACTTGCATCAAGTTTTGAATCAAGTGCTGGATTAAAAATACAAGAGGTCTTTATCAAACTCTATCAATTATAAATGACAGATATGTGTCATTTATAATTACCTGGTTACACAGACACCTAGCTTCTCGAGAAGCTCGATTTTACATCTTATAACGATCCTCTCTTTGCATAGACAAAGTTCTTACATAATCCAAGACTGCCCATATTTTTCCTTTTTTTCTGCAGATAAGATAAAAGGGAATCTGATGCTATGTGTAACGTATCAATTAATTTCTTTTTTGAAATAAAACAAACGAATTACCTTCTTGATGTTGTGATCTAAACCTCAATTTCGCTAGTAGAAAGAAAATGCTGACCAGTTGAGATGCGACCAGTTTTAGTGCTGTGGAAAGACCACCGATCATGGATAGCAATGTTGTTAGGGTGCCAAAGAATGTTTCTCTTTTTTCTGTATAAGAATAAGTACAATAACTCGGTGCACATAATTGATAATAAAGATCATATGAATATGAGGGGTTCCACTGTTCAATCATTAATTGTTTAACTATTGTGGAAATTGAAGTGTTTGGAGCAAAGCGGCTCGATTGTGGATCATTCATTAGGGGTCTGGGACTGAACCATGGTGTGAATTCAATAGCTATGAGATATGTCTCCCTAATAAAGTCGAGTAGAATCGGAAAACATATTGAGTCAGAATAGAAACATTCAAATGTGGAGCGAAGAAGGGAATCCATAAGAAAACAGCCCGAAACAGAGCCTGGCACCATGTAGGTTACGATGTATGTACTGGAACCGTTAGGCAACCGATGCTCTTTGGACAATACGTTCTGACTTTGGCAAGATGGATCAGTAGCACAAATACAGTTAATAGACGTCGAATTCATATTCGGTACTCCAGTAAAAAGAAATTCCGACTAAAAAAAAGAGAAGATTTCATCGCAATTCCTGTTGAATTAAAATGTAAAAACACAATTTTTTCATTATAATCTTCAAAGTAAGTCTCATCGACGTAGATCCTACTAAAATCACTGCCTCTATGAATTTGGTCTCTCTTCTTTGGTATCTCAGATTGACCCATTAGCATCAATCCATGGGCAAAGTATATCGGTGCATTTGAACAGTAGATCACACTAGAACGTTTGTCAAACTAATGATGGTTTAAGAGTGTTTGCTCTTCTCTCAACTGAACTAAGCTGCCAACAAGGGTTTAACTCTCTGTTTTCTCAGATCTTTGATAGTTCAGACTATTTCTATTGCCAATATGGTGTCTCTATGAAATCGATTTGATAGAAACAATATTTTAAACCTGACTAACATCAAGATTAGAATGTGGAATTTCTATTAAGGAGTAAAAGGAAAAATTCATCATAAGTTTAGATCATCTTAAGTGGGAAATAAACAACCAGCTGTGGTTTTCTAATGCTCAATTCAAGGTAGAGAAAAGAGTTGCAAATCATCATGGATCACATATCTATTAAATTTTAATCTGATTATATGGATGAAAAAATCTTGCTAAATCTTCTGATTGTGAAACTTTTCTCCTGATAGAAAAATCTTTTGATTTTAACGGCTTATTTTTATGAATTCTTCGGATTTCGTTTTTTTTATACGATAATTAGCGACATTTCGAACTGATAGTGATTTCAAAGAGAAGAACGGATAGACCTATTAAGTGTTAAATAGATATAAGAACAAATAAGAAAATATTTTGCTTTTTTTTTTGTTTAATTAAAATTAATTTTTAATTAAATGGTTTCGTAGCATTTTCTTGCAGAAATGGATATAATAATCAAATCAATATTTTCATATCAAATGTTTTCTTCACAAGTAGCTGATATTATCGAGATATCAAATTCATTATAGTATGGTTTTCCTTTGCAAACTAATCATTGCCTATTGAACGAAAATGTTACTTTTCTACTAAAAACTACTTCAACGGCAACATCTGCCAAGTGCATCGTTATCATCAGCAATAAATAAACTTTATTGCTCAAAATTTAAAACACAACGATTATTTAATTTTGAGTTTATCTATTTTTCACGAGAATGTAAAATTAATCTTACTAAAACTTCATATGTTATTTGTAATATACAATGCCCCATTGAAATTAATAAATTTGGTGATGTTAATCATCATACAAAATAAAAAAAAACATCAAGTGTTTGAAATCGGCTGAAGTCAATCGATGTAACGGGATAGAAAATAATATTTTTCCAGGGAAAAAAAGTATTGCAATAATTTTAAACAGGATATGCAATAAATTTGATATCAAATGAAAGCCCGTCGAAAATGGGGTTTATTATTACCGAAAAAAAGAAGGATTATCGCAACTTTCGTACGTTGAATTGTCAAACTTGGTAATGTTTTACCGACTAGATGTCTGAGAAAAATTATTCATCAATTAAAGTTCGAATTACGTGGGATGCAAAATACATTATTTTTTCGTCATTTGATGAATACAAGCAATAACTAGTATGACAGCAATTTGTGTTCTTTACTTCACGAAGTCGAGATGAATTTGAACATAGAAGTTTCAAATAACTAAGTATCTGTTTCCATGTTTGTTAAAACATTAAGATATGCACTTTGAGCATGTCTTGAAGATGACAGTTATCCTCAGTTTCTGATAAAATTTTTGTTCAATTTTTTCCTTGATTATTGTTCTAATATGTACTATCATATTGAGATCACGTAAATTTCCTAGCCAGATATCATTGTGACGACATCGTTATGTCCGTTTTTTTGTTTATTTCTTTTCGTGTTATCTATATCTCTTCCAGTCCTACTTGTATTCTTCTGTTCTCTCTCTCTTGCCGTTACATATATGAACATGTACTTTGTATGTAAAAGATACGATTCTTGACAAGAAGAAATACAAGAAAGCATAATGCCATCAGCACTAGCTCTTCTTCTATCGAAAATCGTCACATTCTGAATCTTTACAAGCTATTGATTTCTAAAATTTCCAAGTGGTGAGCATGAGATGAAAGCAAATTTATGAGCAGTCTGTTACATTTCTGAAAGTACCATATTTGAGTTATTATGGGAGTAATATATTGGGTGTACGAAAGAAGAAGCAATATCAATGCAATTTTCACGAGGTTCAGCAAAAAAATATAGTATAAGTTCTATCCTCAGAAAAAGGACTTCCTCGTGAAATTTTGTAGAAGGAAATATTCATTTACAATTTATTCTGCTGAATGCGCAATACAACTACTATGATTTCATCAATATTTTGGAAAAAGAATTTCGTATATCTTGCACATAAAGACATACCGATGGTGATTGTTGATTGATGCTCTCATTTGCCAAATTATTCATAATTAGTTTTGCGTTGAAATTCGGAATCAAGCCTGGGAAGCTAACTCCGGTGTAAGGTTGATCGACTTGTGTAAAAAGATGTATTATATCAACGAGAAGACCAAAATACATGATGGTTGATTGAGTAAATTGATTAATAGCTGCGGATAATTGATCATCAAAGCTGATCTTTGTGACCACTTGTGAACTGACGAAGGATCGTTCAAGAAAGCGACGGACAGCATCATCGATCGTCACATTAGCTAGTTCACATAAAGCTGACAATAGTTGAAATTGTGAGACAACATTAGCATTCCAGTCAACAGGTGTCTGTTGATAGGTAATAGCTGTAAGTAGTGCTATCCAGGAATCTTTGATGAAATCACTCGTACACACTTGATGTAATATCGGTGAAAATGACATAAATGTTTGATAAGGAGTGCTAATCTTCGAGCAAGGACATTGAATTGTAGAGAAGTACAACAGTTGTAACTGATTGTAAGTTGTTAACGATGGACTTGATACAGTGATCGTTGTACTTACAGTACTCAACGAAGTGAAAAGAATAATGACAATTAAGGAACCTAAAGATAGAAGATCAAACATAAATTTAGTAAGCCAGAGCAACACTATGATTCTCTGTGAAATTAAAGCCCAAGATATCAAGAGTCAACATCGGATGAAACTATGGTTTCTCATGATTCTAACAGAGAAATCGAGGATTTACTGAGGAAGGAAGCTCATTCCGAGAAAAATGCAGAAAATTTTATATTCATCTATTTAATCCAAAAATGGAAGTGCAATTCCTTTCGAAATAAAAGGGTAAAACTCAACCAATTCTAGAATATTTTTTTGAAGCGGAAATCTTTCAGCCGAGTTTTAGTGCATTTCACTTGCCTCGATATCATTCAATATCAAAAATTACTTCTCATATTCTACGAAAAGTAGTATTTCAGAATACGACGCCTATTTCAGTGGGTGAGCATGAAGGTGGAATCTTTAGTCTGGCTGATTCACTCACCACCACAATTATCCATCCACTAAAAACATTCATACCTGTGAATAAGATCATGTAGACGCGTGTACCTATCAATTGATGCTGGATAGAATCTGCTTTTCGATTATTGGTCGATCTGAGCAAGTTCAACCGTTTTATCCATTCAACAAAATTACGGACACATGCAAAAAAATGTACTAGAAAACAAAGTTGAAATAAGACCTATGATAACACCTTCGACATGATCAAAATTTACTGGCGTGAAAGTTAAAGTTGGTTTTGGTAAGGACCAGTTTCGATGAAATCTTGACCAAAAAAGGCGCAATTAAGCGCAAGATCACAACTAAACCACCATAGAAACCAAGTAAAACAGGTATTGAATACAAAAGATTGAACTTATCGACTATAGAATACGTGCAAAATGACGGAGCACATTGAGCAAAATACTTCAAATAACTGATATTAGTTGACCATACTTCAACGAAAAGATTAGTCAACAAATCGTTCACAGAAATATTTCGTCTACTTGAAGCTGGAAGAGGACAACTCCAGTTCAATTTACTCTAAACAAGAAGAATTTGACGAGAAGATAATATTGTATTACACATACCTGTTTGAGAAGTGGAAAATACTCTAGCAAGCTTTCAAGACATTTGATTTCATATAGACAATCAAATGTACTTCCAAGAAGATTTGTAAGTGGGAAACCTTGTCCAGAGAATCCATCGACATTAATGGGATGGAATTGTTTCGTCTGCAAAAAAGAAGACCAGTGCGTGTAGTATGCATTATCGTCCATCGCAAGATCTGAATGAAACCCTACTTGCGCTGTAGTGTCTGTCCAGTTGTCGAATGTAAGTACAGTATTGTTCAACGATGCATTCGCGTTGTCTGAAGGAGTATCTATGATGGGATATGTTACTATGTTGTCAGTGTCAATAGTAACTGCATTGACGGCGTCTAGTGCCGAAACCAAAGAGTTTGATTTAGTTGTTATCTGAAGCAGCTTGAGTGGTATGGTTATTTGAATAGGTGTAGTATTTTGAGCAACATTGATGGTTCTCATGACTTCCGATCGAACCTGATCTTCTGGAAGCAGATAAAGTGTGACAAACAAATCATTTGTAATAATTGCTACGGCTTCAGAAATAGCAGCATTAGAGAGCGAGCAGAGAGCAGCAAGAAGTTGAAACTAAACGAAGAAGAATAGAACTATAACAAATCACATAATTATCATTTCTTCATGACTGTAACTCATTGAATTCATAATTAATTAAAGACTTATAGACAATCATCAGTACGGAGAACGATGCGATTATCTATTTGATCGTTTTCTGTTACTAGGTACTGAATATGACTCAGAAGATACTGGTCATAAAATGTAGGTAATTGAAGCAGTGGTCTCTGATAAAGTCTCTCACACTAAGATGTACAACGCAGATAATGTACATTTCTTATCGGCAATGTTGATTTTCTGTGCAGCTTTCAGTATTTAACATTTTTATTTACCATGGTTTATTAAAAACTGATAGCATTTTGTGGATCTTGAATGTGAAACAGATTCTGAATAATAGATGTCGCAAGTGGCGATGCTTGAGCAGACTGAAAGATATTTTCGAGGGTATATGCATGAATAGATTTCTGCAAATCATACCGCGTTGAACAAGATATCTACACTTCCTGTCACACTTCACATCTCTATACTCAAAACTTCTTTGCTATATCTATAATTTCTATCGATGTAGGTAATGTTCGTGTCACTGAATCACACTTCCTTGTCACAGTATCGACTGTATCTGCTTGTCGTGATGGACATTGTTTATTTGTCAAATATGGGAGACGATAGTTGGTTACAATAAACTCCCCAAGTCAGAAAAAAAATAAGGAGGATGGGTGGCATGGTCAGTCCGAAAAGTCCACAATGTCAGTGAAATTACGTCTGACACGTGTTACATAACTATGATGACCAGTCATCTTGAGAAGATATCTCTTGTAATCGCGTCTGAAATGGTCCATGATACCCATGAACGTTTATGTGACTAGGCCGTTTATTCATTTATCCCATATGGACTAGTCCATACTTGGAAAAAAGGTTTAAAAAAGGAAGACGAAAGTCATATTCGAACATTAGCGACATTACTAAAAAGTAAGTGGGCGTTATGACGAGAGTCCACGACGTAGAAACAGTTATGTCAATGTATATAGTCTAAAACACAGAAGGATTATCGTTCCTATACAAGACAAACATAAATCAGTTGACATCATGCGATTCTGACCACTAGAAAGCGTCTTCAATGGTAGTCAGGACAACTTGTCCTGGACGACTGTAACTGTTAAATACTCGTAAAGATTATTCTGTCTTTGAAGTGCATCGACAATCCGAATCCCGAATAGTGAAGGTACTGCAAGGCAGCAATTTTATGATTAAGATGCGCTTCTAATTCGCTAAATAAATTAATAATAGAAAGACAAAAGCAGAATAAAAGATCAAGAGTTTTTAGATATTTGCATCATTTGGTTGGTATAATCGTTTGTATTTCTTTCGTTTCTAATGTATAGTGACAATCAGAAAACTGGTATAAAAGCAACAATGAGGTCAAGAATATACCTATACGTTGCACGTTCGTATTTTGGAATGTTTCACGATATTTAGTATTATCGTTTTTGCATGTAATAAAAAGGTCAAAAATATCTCGAAGTATTACACCTTATGAGAAAGTAAAGCTGGTAATATTTATTTACGAGAAATGTAAAATGGTATGCTTTAAGATTTATTATATATGCAAAATAAATTGAAGATATATGACTAAAAGATAATGAAATACGTCTGAATTCTAATTGCATTTAATTTATTTCAAAATCCATATTCGAATCTTTCGAATTTGAGAATATTCTAAGCTAACATACTTTCTATTTAGTTCTATTTTTAATACACACTTGAAATCTAAGATTAAATTAGATTAGGATATCAGAATTATTTGATTTTTTTTTACTTTAAGAAATTTTGTATTTATCCTCTAGGAAAGTTATTTTATTGAAATTAAGTTGATCCATTGCTGAAAATAGTTAAAAGATACTTCTCAAGAAAAAAGAGAAAACGTTGAATTTATTTTTTTCTATTTCGTCTAATTAATTTGGTATTTATAAACAGAATACTTTTTTATTCACATGAAAATTAGAAAAAATAAATCTCAGAATAACTGTTATAAAGCATCTTAGAATGATTAGAAATATTTCTAAGTTGATCTTTCGATTATATGACTCTATGGTTGGAATGATTGGTAAGTAATTCTAAGTATGTGTGTTCGAATCTAATTCTAATCTTTGAATATTTCAATTCAGATTCAGACTAGTCAGGACCTAGTCACTACATAACACTATGTTTATACGGTGCTCTTATGCATGCATTAAACGTGCACAACTCTGCGCATACATAGCACTATGCATGCATATGTGTGCACGATTGCCGTCTAAATGTGTCGCTCATAGTATTTGTAATCAAAACAGAGGCTCATGATCGGATTGGATTCGAGTTTTTTTGTTTCAAACAACAACTCTCGCTCTTTCTTGAAGCAATTGTTCTGCGAAAAGAACATTTTTGTCTCATTTACTCGATTTTTAGCTGGTATATACAATTGTTGTCGCCTACCTCCTTAAATAACCGCAATTGAAAAATTTAAATAATTTTTTTCCGATTTTTTTTAAATATGGAATTGTCTTCAGACAAGAACAACATCGAAATAACTAGCAACAATAACACGACTACTATTGACAATAAACGAGCTGTTTGGTCAGATTCGGAAACGAGTCTGCTACTCAGTTTGCTGAAGGAGGAGTCAATTGCAAAGCAA